TAGACAGAAGACCCGAAAAACTACTTTTCATTTTTAAGCGAGTAAATAGCCACAAGAGACTTCAAAGAGAATTCAGCTTCGCGCGAAACTCTTAAAACTGGCAGGACCGATTCCAAAATCAAAGAAAAGCGCCACCTGGCTGACCACATCTTAGACATCTCTGTTGACTCAGATACCGAAGACTCAGACCTTGATGATGCATGAATAGAAATTGAAACCGACAGTCATTAAAGCCTCCTTTGATGATATGTAGACTTGTTCACACAGAAATTGCGAAGATTTTAATCATGCCCAAGGGAGTTCCTCCACTTCCTCCCTTCTCCTTCTACCCACTGTCTGGAGAAGGAGAGTTTCAGACGCCTTAGATAGGTTCTCTTTCTCAAGCGTTTTTATTTGTTTATTTTTTTATTCTTTTTGGAGAGCGTTTAAGAGTTCAAAGAGTAGTTGGCGTTAGGTAAATATTTTAAACTTTAGATTGGCTCTAGATTGGAGTTTTTACAGTGAAAAGAAAAATGCATTTCCAGGAGATCGGATTCTTTTATGCTAGATTCTTTTTTTTTTTTTTTATTATTATTTACTTAAATTAATAGCGATACTTGGAAACTGAAGCGCATGTTTTTCTTCCATATCTTCCTCATTTTAGAAAGAAAATGATTGCATGAAACATATACATACTTACGCAGAAGTTGTTATTGATCTGATCCGTGAAGTGAGTTTTATTTTATTTTATTAAGTTGATGGGAAACATTTTCCAAGAAATAGTTCAAACACATTCTCGATAAAAACTCTCTAAAACAGATTTAGTACGACCTCATTAAAATCATGTATGGTCTATAAGCATTTGAAAATGCATATGAAGAAAACATAGAACTGCAGACGGAGAAAGATAAGCATGGCTGCAAGGACTCAAAAGCGTCAGGAAAGCAGAAAAATGCAAATGAAACAAAATGAAGATAAAGATGAAATAGTGAAGTTGACTTCGGTGAAATATTGAAGTAAAAGACAAGCTTTTCGGTTAAAAGACTGAATAAACTTCGTCTGAGTTTAATAAGAGCACTATTCTACTCTGTATTTGTTATGCTGCTTGGAAGCATCTCAGCATGATTTTCAGAGGTATTTATAAATCAGTACATTTATAAAATAAATGTACGCATGAAACAAACATTTTCCGAAAACGGAACAGAATAATTTATATAAATTTTGTTACTATTTCAATTAAATCCTGTTTCAAACAGAATACTGCGATACCATTTATTTGAAACTACTGCAGGGTTATTTTTTATGGTCTCTACCATTAACTGCAATTTTAGAGAGCCTTTTTTTTCGATTATGCTTTTTTTCCGGCTATTTCGAGCACATAAATAAAGAATAAAGAATAAAATATGGAGATCAAGAAACTTAATACTTTAAACATTCACAATTTTATGGTTTTCGATATATTTTACATAGTAAAATGAATGTAATTCAAGTATGAATTAACGGAAAAACTATGAATGATTATCAAAATAGATGAATGAAATTATGCAGTATCAAAAACTTTTCATTTGTGTTACTTCATTATTAAGTGCCTATCATTAATCAATTAATTAATAACTGAATAGCGTTTTAGCTTTTAAGGCAGTTTTTTTAAAGCAATATTATAATAATCTATAATTAATATAATCAAACCACATAGCTCATTAAAGAGTTATTAGAAGCATTAATGAGATAAATATCATATGATGTTAAATTTGATAAGCATGCAAATATATATCATATAAAAACAATATATATCATATAAGTAAGGAAAGAATTTTTAGAATTAATTACAAAAAGAGAAGAAAAGAGTTTAACACAGAATTCCGCAATTAGTATCAGCATTAATACTTAAAAAATTCCAAAAAATTCCATTTCTTAAAATTTTTTTACCATCGAAACTTCTGCAAATATTATGACGTTGGGGAATTCTTAATATTTTGATTTGAATGGACAGTTTTGATTTCGATGAATGGCAACATAAGAAATAGTACAAATTTATTCGAATTAAAAGAAATAAAAAGTTCAGAAATGTTCAGAAATAATAAATGACAACACTTAACAGAACATTTTATAGATTTGTGTTTTGTTTTTTAGACTGCTGGATATTAGATTCTGATGATTACATCCTTATGACGTTTAATAAATCTTTCTTTCGAACTAATCTGAATATTTATTGATATAAATTTAGCACTGAACCATTTTATATAAGATCAGATACTAGCAGCCTCATTTAGATATAAATTTATTATTTGTTTTGAAGAATGTTAAAGACACTACGGTTGGTTAAATACACTAATATTTACCAAAAAGAATCGGCAAAATTTGCAGGACTATATTTTCGAAAGTTTTCTATTTTTAATTTTTTTATTTGTTGTTATGACGTGAGTATATGTTTCTCTCTCGCCGTTTTCATTTAGGCAGCTGCAGAATTTTCACTGAAGTCATTTTTACTTCTACTCCGCTTTCTTCAAAAAGTTCCTCAAATTTACTTAAACTAAGCGACTTTTTTATTAATTATTTGTACCTTTAACATTTTGTTTTTGATGTTTTTTTTTTACTACCGTTTTGAAGAAAGTTGTCTTTTTTCTATGATTAATATAATTAAAATTATTATAAAAACTGTTTAATACACACTCATCAATTTTATCATTAGTTAACTATTATTAATAATTAAAAAAATTGAATTAAAGAACTTCCGAAATCTTAAGAACACGATTAAATGAGTTAAACATAATTGAACTAACCATCATTGACAAACATAATTGTATTGAGCATCAAGTGCTTGCAACCATAAGTGCACAATTGATATGAATTCAAAGTTATTAGTTAATATTAATATTAATTTTAAGAACTTGTTAATGTTATTACAACCAAAGAAGCAGTGGCTAACACAAAGAAATACAAATTAGTAATAGAAAGCTGCACAAAGTGGAAGAAGCAACATTTACGATTTCATAACAAAGGCAGATTAAAATAATGAGTATGAAATTAGAAGCGAAAACAGTCCAAAATGCAGGCTATGAAAACTGGAGTGCTATAATTAAAAAAAAATTCAGACGAAAAAATAAAATCACATACATTCCAGAAAACATGCAGTTCGACTTAGCTAAAAAATCATGCATTACAGGAAAAAAAAAAAAAAAAAAAACCACTTCGAAGTTAATTCACTACGATTACAACTACGAAATTAGTCGGACCTAAAATTAATAAGAAAAGGTACAAAAGTTTTTTTTATATCTCACTTAAACATTTAATTCATTCATATTCCCTTTTTACTAAAGATTTTTTTCAGACAAATTGCTTATGTTTCAAAATTTTCCCCGCTGTTATTTCAATTCATACAAAAGATCTCCTTACAGAAATAAATATATATTTTAAAATGGGAATTTGGAGCTAAATGAATAATGATTTACTAAATAATTTAGAAATGAAGAATTTCACAATTTTTCAATTTTTTTTAATGAACACTGCCTTTCCAGTTTTTTTTTAACATCTCAAAGACAAACTATTGATTAATTTGTTATCAAACTGTTAATTCTTAATTAATTAATAAAGAAACTAACAGACTGATTTCAATATATTTAATAATTTATACTGATTCCTCAGACATTCAGATGACAGTAATGATTAATAATTTCGTCAAAAACAGAAAAAGGGAACGAGATATCCTATCTAAAAGTTCAAGCGTTTAAGCAGATGGCAATTTAAACCATGTGTAAAAAGATAAGTTTTCATCTTTCTTAAAGTTTCTAGGAAGGTTGAAAATTATGGATTGTTTTATAACAGTTATATTAGACGAAAGAAAAAAAATATGTCATATGTACTTCATGTAAATTAAAAATTATTTTTTGCAGCACAAATAAAAAAAGATTTGATACTGTCATACATTATATATATATATATAGTATATATATATATATATTTATAATGTTTTTATTCTATTTTATACCATAATATTATTACATATTACAAAAAAGTAATAAAAGTACTTTAGATAAGTGAAGAAGCATTATTAAGTGCAAATATTTTCAACGTATCATAAGCCATTATATTTAAAAAACAAAAAATAAATGTTAAGCATCTCCAGAGTATAAGCAAGGAGAAGAACAACATTAGTAAAATCTCTTTTTAAGGAAGAAGAAGCTCTACATTCTGTAGAAAGAATCTGCATGTAATATTATGTGATATGAAATTGCTAAACACATAAATGCCCACACTTAGAGATGTGAATCCGAAAATGCGGCTTCAAAAAGAAACTTGAAAGTTCAAAAAGAACTTTAGCAACTTGAAAGATGGCTTCAAAAAATGTTACTCGACAAATTTTAAAACAAAATAAAAAAAAAAAAAAAATCATATATTTAACAAAACTCTTAATGAAACTAGATTAAGGGGAGATTTACGAAATTCAGAATAAACATGCGTATTTTTCCCGGTTAAGATACACGCTAAAGGTTTTTGTTTTCTCATATTTTCAGCTCTTTCTATTCTCAAATTCTTAAACTTATATTTTCATTGCGATTTTGCTGAATAAAATTAGTGGATTTTAACCATCACTAAAATTGTAACATGTATGCATTAGGAAACTTTATACAGCACAGAATAGTTTAACTGTTATTAAAAATATTATTACTTTCTTAGAACATGAATTTAATTTTGCTGTAAATTAGATGGTGTATAACATGTTAAAAACGGTTAAAAATAGGAGTTATTTCAAGCAAGTTTTAGACATTACTCGAATATTTTTAAAAATTTTGTTAGCATTATTAGTGCTTTATGAAGAAAGAAATAAAAACTAAAACCAAATAAACAGCATTTAAATGCAATTTAAAACAGTGCATTCCCTCAAAAATTTTAAATATATTAAAATTAAAAAAATATTTCAATAAAAAAGTTATAAAACTAATCTCTCTAACACATACCACACAGAAAGCAAACAAAAAAGCAAAGCAAAAAAACAACAGCTAAAATATTCAAATTCTTACGTAGAAAGGATATCATAGCCATGCTAGAATCGTAAGTTGCAGGACTGTCTCCAGCATCAGACATGTCACCGCTGTCCTGCTTCATATGGGAAAGGTGAAGCGAGTCTGGTGATCCTCTTTGGTGACCATGAAAAGGTAATAATGGATGAATAGGGCCTGTGTGATGTAGCCCCACAGGGGGGCCATCATCCTCCGGTGGCTCTATCGATGCGAAATGTTGAGAAAGTCTATGATGCTCGTAACTGAAATTATGGAAGAGGTCAGATTGATTTAGGCTAGGGTTCGGTATTGCGACCGTAGTAGGTAAGCTAACCGGCACCAGAGGTGGTGGCGGTGGATGATGAGAATACATATGTGATGGCGGAATGGATTCCGATGAGGGCATAACGCTCAGCATGCCAGAATATTTCGGGCTTACGTCTTGAGATGATTCTGAAGATCGAAGTCCACACAACTGACCAGTCCTTTGATTCAGGCGAGTATCTGTTACTTTATGTCTTTTTTTCTTGGGAGTGACAACCAAGGACATAGCTTCCGTTTGTTCGGGAACATCTTGAGGCGTAGGTGTCGAACTGGCAGGAGAAGCATAAGGCTGGGATAATGAAAGTGAAGGAAGTTGAGGAGGAGAACCATACAGAAAAGCCGCAGTGGCCGCGACACTTGTTGGGGGTTTTAAAGGGAAAAAAAAGGGCGGCTTTGGAGCAGTGGCTATATCTGGTGGAAAGGGACTTGTCCTTAACCCACATAATCCGTGTCCATTTACTCTCGTTCCACGATCTATCACTTTACCTGTCCGAGGAGATTTTCTATCTAACATTTGAGATAATAATGTAGGATCTTTCGGTGGATCTTGGTCTTGAGATGAATTGTTTACCTTGGACATTGAAGCTTTACGTTGAATACACCGAGACATTACAGCGTCCACTGCTTGAAATAACGAAGTGGAAAGTTCCGCTTTTAGAGATTCAGATAACCACTCGATATCTAAATTAGGACACGGGGATGGCTGCACTATGCAAGACTGTCTTAATTCTTGAAGTCCTGGTTTTTCGGCAGTGTTATTGGAGGCACTTGGCTCCTTTTGATCATCAATGACTAACCTTCTCTGTTCGTCATACATACTCGCATTATCATAGTCCACGAAGGAAGGAGTCTGCTTAGGTGTACGCATTGTTTCAGGTTTTGCATCTATTCTAGGTTTCAGATCTTCAGGAGTGCTGACACTTCTCGGTCGCTCAATTACAACAGGAGTGCTGCTAGAAGGAATCGGAGGCATATCCTCGTCAGTACTGTCTCCATCAGCCATCTCCATGTACTGTTGCTGCATTGCAACCAATTGTTGTTGCATTTGACGCAACTGTTGTTTAATTGTAAACAGTTCAGGATTGCCACAGTTACGACGTTTAGGGAGAGGACTAACATTCGTATTATCGCAATAATCATCATCATCGTCATAAATCTCGTTATCCCCATTCATTGGGTTTCGGTGAGAACTTTCGTGTTGTTGAGGCTGATACAGTTTTCTTTTTTTACATCCATTCACAGGCGGTTGAGAGTCAGAAAGTCCTGCTCCGCTCCCATTACTGCGGGGCGTGGGACCTTGAAGCATGTTGTTGACTATGGTCTCGACCCGGGCCCGCTTTACTTCTAACGAGGTGGAGGAGTTGGCGGTGGGTGGGAGCATGGAATGCTCTCCCTGCCAGGTGGCGCCGCTATCGTTAGGTGGGTGGCCGGGGCTACTGCCGCGAGAAGAGCCGCCTGGACTGCGAGCGGCCGCCGGCGACGGGGACGCCCTCGCTGCTGCTGCCGACATCCTGCAGCTCGCTTTGCTCTCGTTTGAATCTTCGTCGTCGAGTTTCTCGGACGGCCGGCTTCCGGAACAAGAAACGACCTCCCCGCCGCAGCTCGGGCTCTCTCGACCGTGACCGACGGAAGTCTCTCCCCTCTTCGCCCTCCCCTGCTGCAAAATGTCCCGTAAGAGGTGGCTGTTGCTGCTCGCCGCACTCCCTCCGCTGCTACAGCGCTCGGGACTCTCGGGAGGACCCAGGTTTCGACCGTACAATAAATCTCCACCGTTCACGTACATTCGACCCGGACTAGGACCTAGAGAAATTGGACTCGAGCCATTCACACCTCCGTTACTCCTGCTGCTCCCCTCCGCAGCGTCAAGCACAATCATGTCTTGCTCTTTTGTGGGTAATTGTCGAAGTCCAGATCCTAACAAGTCGCAAAGCATCTTGCTTGTGTACCCATTCGAATGGTGATGGTGAGTGTAGAGTGAGGAGGGCGGGAGTGAGCCCTGCGGAGGACGCGAACTGAAGTTCGGAATACTCGCGTAACTGTTTCTCGGCTCCCCAGCATCAACTCTCTGTCGCACACGCTTCGTCTTGGCCGACTTACTCAAAGCTTTGTTGTCCTCTAGCAGAGCCATATCGGGGTCCTCCTCCGATGACATCATCGCGAAAGGCTGTGATTGGACGCTCGCTCTCCTCAGCGGTAACCACTCAAGGGGCTGGCTTCCCCCTTCCTCCTTTTTTCCCTCTTTTGTTCCGTTTGTGTTTTGGGGGAGAGGGCGGTTTTTTTTTCTGCTTTTCTGTGTAAGTATAATCTCTCCGCTCCTTTCGACCTAGGGTCCCGTGCCGCTCATGGCCACCTCCCGCACTTCATGCTACGTTGACTGTACAGGGATCGATGTTCAGTTCGGGGAAGCCTGCAAAGAGACAAAGGAACATCAAGGGAAAGAAATGGAAAGGAAAATCGCCCCAGATTTATGGGTAAACACCCGCTTTAACACGTAGTGAGCGTTCAAAATAGAGTACAAAATATAGACTCTTACCAATATAATAGAGGTAGTTATTTCACAAGAATAACATTTTATTGCGATTGATGTTTTTAAACCGTTCATATTAATAAAAATTTTATGATACAATATCTATGACACATCACATTATATTACCATTACAATGAAATAAAAAAAATGTTATTTTATAAGATAAATATAATTTATAAAAAAATCTTAAATGCATTTTAAAGCCTTTAGTGCAAGTATCAGAATGTAGTTGCTTGTTAAAACATTCAGAAATTCCTGAAAAATATTAGTTAATGAAAATAGCATATACCTGAAAAGTTTTACAGAAATAATTAGTTTTCAGCGATTAATTAGAGATTTATTGTTCTAAATATGAATATCTACTGAAATACACTTAATTTTTTTTATTAAAGATAAAAAAGAATTAAGCAGATAAAAAACTAGTATGCAATTGTTAAGAATAATAAGTTTGGGTAAAAAATTCAGTGTAAAAACGGAAAACATTCTGAAATAGAACACTATAGTAATTAATAGAAAGACAAAAATGAATAAATTGGGTGATCTGATAATATATTTGAGAGATTGCTAAATGATAATCTCTATGGTCCCGCTTTCTTCACCTCTTACTTCTAAAACAATAATTAATATCTTTAAGTATCTTCCCTTTCTCTGCATTGTTCGATGCGCATAAATAAAAATATACAAGATTTAACTTCGTATTGTTTTGATTACTATGATATGAAACATAAATTATTCATAACCAATTCATTATATTCTTAATTTTCAAAGTTTTTCCGATAAATATTAAAGAAGATCACACACATCCTTTATGTGATTAAAAATACAATTAAACTAGAAATACGTGGAATATAATACCTATGTAAAGTATAATTATATATTTTTTACTCTTGCTTTTATGGCATACAAATAAAAAAAGAAAGACAAACCAAAATAAATAAATAAATATAAGCTTTAAAGTACCATAACAATGAAACACATATTAAAATTTTAGTTATTCTTAAAGAAAATTCAAAGACACAATTATTCATTTAAACTAAAATTAATTTCGAAAAAAATTATAAAACATAGAATGCGTTTCAGACCTTGTCTTTCGGTTTGCAAAAGACTTTGTCTTTCAGTTTACAAGGTTCTGAAGATAATAAGCTATGCAGATAAGACAAAGTGTCGCATTGCGCCATTGAAAATGAAACAAATTTCATTATTGATAAAAAAAATAGTATGCAATTAAGCTAGGAATCTGTTATATAATAACAGCTTTGTTGAGCTTATCATTTTTCATTATAAGCCAACAGTGTAAACCAGAAAGCATTTACTTTGCTTTAGCTATCAACAAATACGGAATCTTTTGATTTCAGCATTCAGAAATCCTTTCGTTCATTGTTTTTGAATTGCTAATACAATCCCCTAAAAACGCTAAATCAATACTAAATGAAATCGGGAGAATTTTTAATAAAATTTTTTTTGAGGAACGAAATTTCACAGTTGCTCTTTATCGAATGAAAGAGAGATTTAACTTGCCACAGAAGAAAAACAATTAGTATGTAATCCTTCTTATACGGAAATATGGAGCCTAATGTCACTTCTTATAAGCAAAAATGAAATTTGTTTCAATTTAAATATGTCCCTTTACTCACTAAACTTTTTAAAATATTGAAATCAGTATTATACCAGTATCTTGAAACTCTAAGGCTAAATACAACCCGAAATGCTAATATTACTTGTGTTGCAAAGTGGTTTATATGAAAAGGAAAAGACCACACAGCATTTGTAGTAATGGGTTATACCTGCAGCTATACAATGGATTTGCTGCATGGTTGTTTTCATTTTTTTTTTTTTTTTTTTTTTTTTTTTGCCATATATAATATGAACGCGGAATGATTTCCTTTCGATGTTTCTCCACGAATTGCGCTTAATACTCGAGCTCTTTGCCGTAACGTGCATATACAAAGTAACAAAGTAAAAAAAAAAAAAAAAAAAAAATCTGAAAGATTTCAAATTTTACGGTTGCCTAAAAAGATTTGTTAAGGTTTTTTTATGCTTTCGCTGAGCTTGCTGTCTACCATTCTGCTCTTGCACTGACGCAATTTTTTTTTTTGTCTTTTTAGTTTTATTATTAAAAATCGTTTTCTTTGCACTTAATCCATATACAGCTCAACAGGACAATCACAAAAATTATAAAAACAGCATATGCTAGAATTCCCGATTCCCGATGCAATGCTGAGTGTTGGCATACATTTTTCAATTTGTTCAGACTTTTCTCAGTTCAACATATCAATATTCAGTTTCCTTTGTAAGATGGCTAGCAAAAAAAAAAAAAAAAAAAAAAAAAAAAAAAAAAAAAAAAAAAAAAAAAAAAAAAGAATTCTTTTGTCTTTTTACTATTAACGTTTTATGTGTCAATTTTATTTATTAAATATCATGTTATTCGCACTTCCACCACATAAAATTCAATTCAATGGCAAAATCACAAAAAATTTAAAGACACTATTTCTTTAGAATTTCCGATAGTCGGTCTCGCGCGCTGGAGATAAAAATGTTTTATTACAGTGTTGCCATTGCTCGCTTTCAAATCGTCGAGTTTGTTAATTAAAAATTCCTTAAAGTTTTACAAAATATGAAACAATATATATATAATGTCATTCTACGAAATTATTGAATATTTTAATTAGATATATTATGAATTAAATACATTTTTATTATTTAAATCAGGGCCCACCAGCGGCCGAGCGGTAAGGACGCTGAACACTGGTAGTTCGGTCGGAGGTTCGAATCCCGCGAACGGGCTGGCTGCATGGGCTTTTTCGTAGTTTTCCCCATGTGTAACGTGTATACGAGCCAGTTTCCCTTGGAAAGTCCTCCACGAAGGCATCCCTCTCTTTAGGCAGATAGCCTCTCGTGTGCTTTGCCGTAATTGAATAATCCAATCCAATATTATTTAAATCAATACGATTCAAGAGTGAGAAGTGAATATTCTCAAGAACTGCATTTACTGCTTTCAAATAGCTTTATTTGTTAATCCAAAACAGACAGATTAAATTTAAAAGACAAAGATATCTCGAATGGCAACAGACTCGAATGAAAAGTGAAAGGGCGCATTACAGTGATTCGATGCAAAATCCCATTTCGACTCTTTCCAAAAATCCCATTCAAAGTCTCATTCCTATTCCCACTCAAAATCCTTTTGGGCTAAAAATAGAAAGAGAGAGAAAGAGAAGGCGCACATAATATTTAGTCAGATTTTAGATTTATATTTTATTATGGAATGATACCAAATTAATTACGGTAGACGCATTTTCAATTCTTTAAAAATTTTAATCACGTACTATACAAATAAGAACTCTTGATAAATTTTACTAAATGTCTATTTCTACACTATGTACTGAACAGCGTGGTTTCTTCCTGATGTAATTGAATTCTAAATTGGTAATTTAATCCTATAAATAAATGTAAATCATTATAGAAAATTAATTATGAAAAGAAGCTGCAGATAACTGTGCACGAAATAAAACATAACTTACCAAGAACTATGAAACAGCGTCGAAAAATTTGATAGTTAAAGTTTCCAAAATACAAAAATTTTCATAGAACTTTAAAAATACTGTTACACTTATTTATCAAATGAACACCGATTATTTATAAAATTTTCATTTATATTTCCATACATTCTGTTTTGCGCACAGTAGAATCTACTTTCTGAAGTTACGACAGCTTTAGTTCCACAAAGTAATTTGGCATTTCCTTGTTAAAGTTTGCTACCGCGCGAGATTTGAAATTTGCACATTACAAACTAATTATAATTAGTAATTACATTTCCCAATTTTGGTCAGTAATTGCGGTAGTCGCTGTAACAACGAAATACCAAAAAAAGGTATCCGCAGAAAATTATATGCCACTAAATTTGAACGAAAATGAACTCTGAATTAATTAATTATAGTTACTATTTTAGAAACCTGAACATCCTAGTTTAAGAAAACAAATGTACCTTACTCATTCTTTTAAAAATAATTTTCTTGTATATTGATGATTTAAATACTACTCAAGAATAAATTGTCTAAATAACACATCAATATACGCAAAGTTCTTAACTTCAAAGATAAATCAATGCTAAGAAATGCTGAGAATAGAAACGATTTACTATTAAATGAAAATTATACGAAAAATCTATTGTTATCTTGAATTTATTTGTTAGCCATCCTCATGATAAATCTTTCAAGGAATTCAGAAAAAATTACAAAAAACCCATGAAACCAATAAAAATACCAAAATTTAATATGAAAATTAAGAAAAACGTAGTAATACTGAATTCAGTTAGTGAAATACCAAAATTTGCCCAGATAGGCATTTTAGAACATATTAATTCTCTGAAATATTTCGGACTTAAAGATAAAAAAAAATCCTTTTACCATTAAACTGTAGATAAAAAACATGTTTACTTTTTATTTAAAGATAATCGCAATAATTCGTTAAAAATGACAAAACTGTGCCATATTTATTTTTAAATAAATAAGCCATGTGATCAGAATTTTCTAAAAACTAAATAAATAAAAACATAAAAATAATTTGAAAAAAATGAAAAAATAAATAAATTTAATGTTGTAACCGGAATTACATATACTTTAAAAAATTATCAAAACTTATCACATGGTATGACGGATTCGGTGATAACGCAAAAATATTTCCTTAACGTTCTACATCTTGCATACAAGTAAATCCATTTAATAAGGCATAATAATAAAAAGAGGTTTATATTATTTGAAAATAATAGCTCGAAGCTCATAAAAGGTAATAATTCTCCTATTACATCAGCGTGGAGAAAACTTTAAATTTTACAGTTCACAACTGTTCTAAATTTACTACCTTTTAAGAAGGATATTTAATAC